AATACCAAACGATTAAGCTCTCAAACTTTTACCTACCCCACTCAAGAGATCTTCTATCCCCCCCCCCACCCCCCCCCCCCCCAAAACCCAAAATCCAGTAGTACCAAATAAGGGCCAAAAATGTGAAAAAGTCCCTTTGAACCAGGGACAAAATAGATATGAGAAAAAATTGAACTGAGAGTTTAATACAGCTTCCGCCTACCACCTAAACAGCTGCAATGATAACAAAACAACTCAATTCAAAAAAAAAAGAAGAAGAAGGAACCAAGTCCTTTTTTCTACAGATTTACTTCTGTACACAGAAGTACAGGAAAAAAATATGAGCATTTTTCACAACACGCTAGATGCTAACTCACTTCCTCACCATTCAAAACTTATTAACCATTCCCATATATGAATCCAATAATCAAGCGTTACAGTTAATTCTACTTCCTTGTTTTTGCAGTCTGTAACTTCAGACATTCCAATAATGTAAAATTAACACACTTATCTAAACCAACAGTAAGTCAAAAGACTTGGTATAAATTTCTTGTATCCTAAGATATACTCTATGTTGTATGTAAGGGATGAAGATATAATAATATCATGATCTCTGAGCTGACTGGTTTAAGGGTTGTTATATCTATGGATAATGCATCAACAGTATGCACAAGTCTTCAGGGAGAAAAGAGAAAAGAAAACTTATATGGTTACATTGTCACATAACCTTCTCTTGCGTGTTCATCCAAAATCCATGATGTGTTAACATGTTGGGGAGAAAAACATATTACTTGGAGCACCATTTTTTAAGCAAAACTTGGTAAACCGGCTAGGATAAGCCCCTAACCTTTGCATTTTCTCGCAGTCATACAAAGCAAGCCTGGAATAACGACTATGTGATCAAGCATCAAACTCAAAATTTCAATTTATAATGTTATGGAAAAGGGTAGTAGCTGCTAAGTATGGAGTTTTAAACAATGGATGGTTTTCGAGTGAATAAGCCATATTGAAGGGGAATCTTTTTAGGGGAGGGACTGGAACTAGATGCCTTAGTTATACTGTTCGTAAGAAGCATAATGTATTCTTGGGATGATGACACCAGAAACATACTCAGCGATGCTTTTTTTAACGAGAGGAAATTTTTTATTCAAATAATACCAAGAGGTACTATACTGTACAATAAATCCCAATATATATAAATAACGGTATAGTACTCCACACTCAGAGATATGGGACATTCTGCATTATGGTGGATGATGGAGAGGCTATGGTAGCAAGCAGTTATATCAGAAGGGCTGACCAGCGATCTTCCTTTTTTTTTTTTTTTTAATAAAGTGATGTGACCAGGGGATCATGTGCAATATAAACTTCAAGAAGGGCATACAGAAGTTGGAGTGTGATAGAAGTTCTTCCAAAAAATCCTTGATTTCTTGGGAGGGTGATGGGAGACGCAATGATTTGGAGCGGGTGATGGAGACAACATTACCATGTTAACAAACTTATTTCACTTTCTGAATAGGATTTATGTATTATACAATGATAGTGTAATTAATTTTTTACGCCACCAATGTAATTTAACCTATTACAGCAAGTTGCTTATCATTTAGTATAGGTTACCAATAAATGCTAAAGTAGTAGTATTAAATAGAGTTACCTCTAAGGCTACAATTACCTTTTAAGAGACCGATTATATAAAAAAAAATTTACGCCATCAGTGCAAACAACTTCAACTCTTCCTAATAAAAAGAAAGTAAATTATCTGCAAAGCCAAAAGCTTTAAGAACTTTATACCTGCTTTTGCTTAGGAGATTTCGATTTGGAACTCCAATTGATAGGTCGCGATATTTCCACTACCTCCGCATCAATTGAACTCGCACCTGGAAACACTCTTTTCCTGTGCATCAATAATACTATCTCAAGCCACATATCCCCAAATACTTAAAAAATTTAAAAAAAAAAAACCAAGAAACAAGAAAATGATCAAATGGTCTATCTTTCTTTCTTTTCTTTCTATTGAAACTAGGAAATCCTAAGGGCCAGCGGAACACATGGTTCGAAACGGGGTGAGATAACAAGGCCGCCCCTCTACCCTTCTCCACTTCAACCACTTACCTATCACTTACGTGGTAAATATTAGGCTTTTGTCTGCGATTGAGTTCGAAACATCAAGCTTTGCGTTCTTACCACTAGACCAAAGCTCTGGGTCTGCTTTACTTCAATAACATCAAAATTATAGACACCCAAATACTTTAAAAAAAGTTCATCAATTTGGGGTCGTATTTTACACTTTTTCTCTGAAATGAACACAATCAAGAATCACAACCCCCTACCCACCACCACCACCAAATACTTTTTTTGAGGAATAATATAAAAACAAAAAATACAAGAAAAGAGAATGATCAACTGGGTGTGTCTGTGTTTGTGCTTACAGGGAATTGCGAGTGACATATTGAGCACGCGGTGTGGGCGTCTCCATCGGTCTCCGATTGTGTGTGTAGGTGAATTGGTCAAATCGGCGATTAGGGCTAAACTCCACAGTTTCTCATCATCTTGTTATTATTATACATGCAAAATCGACTGTCTATGTAATGTTCCGTCTCCACCGGGGATTCTATATTTAACATAATACTGTGTGTGTGTGTGTGAGAGAGAGAGAGAGAGAGAGAGAGAGAGAGAGACAGAGTTTTGTTCCAAAAGGAGTCTATCTAGCTTCCCGACTCGCTCTTCCCGCGCCTAGTTAAATAGGTAGTACAAGCCGCCGCCCCCCCCACCCCGACCCCCCAACCCCACCCCAAAAAAAAAAACACACACACACACCCCACCCCACGCAATTGGGTGTTAATAGTCCATTGGTATCAAATCAAATTAACTTATAATTAAGTGATTTACACCTTGTTTGGATGATTGTTACATATTGTATCGTATTGTTATTTTAAATACAATATTTATTTTTATTGTTACTTAAATTTTATTGTATTGTATCATTAGTTTCGTCGTTACATAACGACGAAATATGCCATTTTAAGTAACGACCAATTTAATGTTGTCGCGTCGTTACCTTGTCTTTTTCTCTCAATCTCACCCTTCATTATAAATAAATAATTTTATTTTATCATTATTCTATATGTTTATATAATAATTTTACCCCGTATCATAATTTTTGTTTATAATATTACAAGTTTATTCTTCATATTATTGGTGCATGATATCATGAAACGACGTCAAACGATATAATCTATCCAAACATTATTTTCATCAAACAATACAATACAATACGATACAATACATTATGAAATAATATGTAACGACCATCCAAACAAGCTGTTAATAAAATGGAAATATATATAACTAATAACAATTAAGTAAAGTCCAGTGCAAAGCACATAATGTAAACATGGTAAGTTTTTTACTCCCTCCATTTTAATTTGCACGAGGTGGTTTGACTTTAACACATTTTTTTTTTCAAAAAAAGTAGATTTCGAAACTTGTGATCTTAAAAGTTTAAGGAGTAAAAGGTAAAAATAGCACGGGCTAGTTATTTTTCGGACTGCTAATCAAAAAATAACCAACGTTTGCAAAGTCATTAGAAAATAGCCAATGCTTTACTGAAACACGGAAAGTTCCAGCACAATAAGCGGGATTATAGAGCTCCTACGTATAAGTTTCTAGCATATTATGTTGGAACTCCAACACATTATGTTGGAATCTCATATATAAAAAATACGAACTCCAGCATATTATGCTGGAATATCCGGATTTTTAAGGGTGTTTTTGTTCAGATTTTATTTTTACATGAAAAATGACTACATTTTGATTAATTACTTTTGAAGCTGTGGTAATTTTTCAATTACCAGTTGTAAATCTGGCTATTTTTACTTTATTTTTTCGAGTAAAAACAATGTGGGGCCATGACATTTGTATGGCTATAAATATTTTTCGATAAGGGTAAATTTATCAAAATAAAAACTTTAAAGTTAAATTATTTCTAAATATATAAATATTATTCTTTTTATAACGAATTAATATGAATTTTTTTAGTTAATCAGATAGATAGATTATATATTAAGAAAAAATAGAAGTAGTAATAGGGTGGATATTAGACCTTTGCCTAGTTGGCGGGTTATCAATATTAGTATTAATATTACTAGATGGTTATTTACTAATATTACTAGATGGTTATTGTCCGTGCATAGCACCCGATACTGTAAAACATAGAGCCTGTTTGGCTTAGCTGATTTAGAGTAGCTGATAAGCATTAGGTGCTGATAAGCACTTTTAAATGCTGAAACTGATTTAAAAAATAAGCAGTTACGTGTTTGGATAAAAGTGCTGAAATTAATATGCAGCTGAAGAACTGGGTATACGAAGAGTTTTGTTTTAAAAAGAAGTATTTTAGGAATAGAATAGTAAATATCTTGGTCAAACTTAAAGTGCTTATAAGCTGAAATTTGAGAAGTTGGGAGAGACCAACTTATGGCTTTTGGATTATTTTTGACTTATAAGCACTTTTAATTTTACCAAACGCGTAGATAAGCCAAAAAGTGCTTATAAGCAGTTTGACCAGCTTATAAGCTAACACCCTCATAGAATTATCATTTACAATTAACTTTGTTATGATATGAAATTGTGAAAAAGAGATATTGAGACACCATTGAAAAGTTGCACAGTTTTAACATACATAAGAATACTGTTTGCATACTCTATTTATATATTGACAAAAGGTAACACACTCTACTTCGAAAGTGACGCAATCTTTACATCCACGAGAGTACTTTTTACATATTAACAAAGGATGAAAGATTCTACGTAGTCTTTACAAAAGGTGATTCGTCCTTCATTTTGTGATTGTTTGTTTTTGCCGTCTGGATAAAATATTGACATCTGCAAAATATGGGGAAAAAATCAAGTTTCAAAACCTGTATAACATAATGTACTAATTAATATGACAATATTACTGCCAACCTATCTTTTAAAGCATGTTATTCAGTCTAGAAATGATATCTAACTACCTGAGAAATCAAGCATTAATCACACACACAAACATCCTTACTGACGCTATTTAGTTATTCGGGATCAGAATTTCCACTAGAGAAGACGGGAATTGAGTTATGATTGATGAAAGTCTGCTATGTATTAAGTAGTAAAAAGAGTCTCAATTGACTGGCATCGCCCTTCACTCAAAAAAAATGTGTTTGTAGGTACATTAGTTGCTGAAAACGGATTGTTATGAAATTTGTTAAATTTTTTGTAGCTTTCGTGGAGTTGTTTGTAGAAGCTCCTATTTGGCTTTCGCAGTTGTTGGAAGACTCAAGGTTGCGAAAGAGATTGAATAATTTAAGAATTTAACGTAACTATGGTAGGTCATTGTAAATTTTATTGGTAATTGGCATACCCTTTTTCAAGGTATTGTCTTTCTTACCATGTATATTTGTAACTCTGCTATGAACAAAGGAAGCTAATTCGTTGAAGAGAAAAATTTAATAAATTAGGATTTGGTTCAAATAATATCTCCACAGAATCTAAGTGAAGAAAAAGTTGCCAAAATGCTAAGTTGTCTTTGACATTATCCTTATCCCATTGTTCTTCTCAAGCAAAATTTCGAATCAACTTGACATCCTTTGTCATACTAGCCCATTGCAGTTTCAATTTCATAATATAAAAGTTTTCAACCTTCTATAATTTTCAACTCTAACAGAAACAAAGAAGATGAATAATAATAATATACCAATTCTAACTACTTTTGATGAAACATAATTACACCTCTCGTTATCAAACAAATCCTTCAGTGTTTTCAAATATACCGTCAGCCAAAATTATTACACAAGAAAATCAAGAAGAGTTACTTTTATCATAATTGGAGGTTGTAACTATCTTATGTAAGCATCGAATAATGACATTATGTGTGTTGAAGCTAGGATGCCTCTTATGTTTAAAACTTCTCTGGCACTGATTATTGCAAATAATTCAAGAAAATCCTGTTGGATAAATGTAGAGGTGCACTACGAAGTTAATTTACGTAACAAAAGAGTTTACTAAAGAAGATGTAACCGATCAAGATTTCAAAGGCCTCCAGATGAAACTCACAAGTTATAAATTCGAAAACTCCTCCACGGCAAAGGAATTCTCAAGATATCTATCTCTATATTAACGTTAAACTTTAGAAGTTGATACTTCATTAGGTCTTAACAAAACAACAACTGGAGAAAGCGCATCAATTTTTTCAGTGACAGACTTTAAAATTATAGATACACTACGGTTAATACACTTATATTATCCAAGATAACAATCATTCGGTGTGCAACTAAGCATAAATCATCCGCGACTTTATTTGCTTATTCGATGTTCTGCTCTGAATGTCAAATCAGAAACAACAATTCCATTTCTCTTTCATCTGGATATGAATTTAGAATTTGACAAAATCCAATACTATAGAAAAAAAAACTCCTTGATTTTACTACATGTATTCACACACAACTAAAGATATAGTAAAATTTTATAATGTCGAACACAACAACTAATATGCACGCGAAAACTAAGAGCAACAACAACAACCCAGTAAAATTCCACTAGTGGGGTCTGGGGAGGGTAGTGTGTACGCATACCTTACCCCTACCCCGAAGGGGTAGAGAGGCTATTTCCGGAAGACCCTCGGCTCAAGAGAACAAAAAGACAAATGTAGAAAATATTAGTATCACCACAGAAATCATAAGAAAAATAGGAACAACATGTAATCCGGAAGAAAGATGCAAAGCAAAACCGATAGCTAGTAAATAGGTCCTGCACTGAAAAATAGTAAGACACAACATTGCCACTGGTTATCTTATACAAAAACCTTACCAGACTAGTCTCACGGAGGTATTAGTAAGGCAAGACTCAACTACCTCCCAACCTATAACCTTAATACTCGACCTCCACAACTCCCTATCAAGTGTCATGTCCTCGGAATCTGAAGCCTCGCCATATCATGTCTAATCACCTCTCCCCAATACTTCTTAGGTCGCCCTCTACCTCTTCTCGTTCCATCCATAACTAGCCGCTCACACCTCCTTACCGTAACATCTGGACTTCTCCTCTAAACATGCCCGAACCATCTGAGTCTCGCTTCCCGCATCTTATCATCAATGGGAGCTACGTGCACCTTCTCCCGAATATCATTATTCCTAATCTTATACATCCTAGTGTGCATGTACATCCACCTCAACATCCTCATTTATGCTACTTTCATCTTCTGGATATGTGAGTTCTTAACAGGTCAACACTCAACCCCATACATCATCGCCGGTCTAACCACCGCTTTATAGAACTTACCTTTGAGAATAGGTGGCACTCTCTTATAACATGGGACTCCATAAGCTAACCTCCACTTCATCCATCCTACCCCAATACGATGTGTGACATCCTCGTCGATCTCCCCTCCCCCTGGATAACCGACCCAAGGTACTTGAAGCTGCCTCTACTTGGGATGACCTGTGATTCAAGCCTCACATCCACGCCGACTTCCCTTGGCTCAGCGCTGAACTTACGCTCTAGATATTCAGTCTTCGTCCTGCTCAGCTTGAAAACTAAGAGCAAAAGCCATATAAATATTTTATTCTCGAAGAACTGAATCTTCCCACCACCCAAGCTACTAGAGTACTCTTATGTCACGTAAGTCAACCCATATAAACTTTCAAAATTTGATATTAAAAATAAAATCGAAAAGGAAT